AACACCTGGGGTGTGTCTGACTTCTGAGCAATCGTTGTGCTGGTGTTTTCCTAGTCAATCACTTGGTCCCTCGATTGAACACCAAACTCCCTCGGACGGCCCATGGTACACAGGCCCAACGCGGTCATTCTAAGGGTTTGCCTCGTTCATTGTCGCCTGATTTGCTAACGGTGGTGGAGGATGAGGCTCCATCCCACGCTCCAATTGTGATCGGAGCTCTGCATTCTCTCTGTGCAAGATCTCCATGACCTTCGCATTCTCCTCGCACAAGGTCTGGATCAGTTGCCAGAATTCCTCCGATCGATCGTTCCGATTAACCTCCTAATGTTGCGTGCCTTCTTCGCTAATCATTATCCCAAAACATAGCTGAGTCATCAATTGTATCGAAAAACTATTAGAAAATCACTCGTCGATTTCCCACCGATGGCGCCAGATGAAGATGCAAGAAAATGGTTCTCTATAGAAGGAAAGAATTTTCTTACACTCCAAACAATTATATTCCCATTTTACATTCTCTCTCTTTATATTTATAAAAGTCTACATTGCCCTAAAATTCCTCGCAGGCTTGGTTTCCTCTTGGGCCGTTCCACCACAAAGTTGGGCCCGATACCAAAATGATTGGACTAGGAAGTTGATGGAATTTCTTCCCGAATGGGTGGGCTGGGCCGGAACCAGCCCAATGGGATTTTATGCACCTTCACCTATGTTTAGAGTATATCAAAAACTCTAGAAGATTAAGACCGAGTTGAAGAAACTAACAATGACAGATTTAGCAATCTCCCTGATAGAGTGCAGCGGGCTAAGAATACTTTGTTTATTCTGTGGTACAATCTAATCCTGTGTTATGTGAGCTGAGCACTAAGGAGAAAGAATTGATTAAGAATTATTCTAAACTCGAAGTAGCTAAGGAGTCCTTCATAAAGCACACGTCTCGTATCTAGTGGCTTGAACTTAGTGACCAAAATACCAATTTCTTTTTCAAGACAACGAATTTCAAAAAGTTACTACCACATAAAATCAATCACAAAGGAAGATAAAGCTTTGACTACTGACAATAAATACATTAAAGTCGAAGCCATCAATTTATATAACTCCCTTCTGAATGGTGCCAAACATTTTCCCATCACTGTCAATGATTGGTTCTCCTAAAAGTTATCTAATGAACTTCAATCCTCTCTACAAGCTGATATGTCTTGCATGACTAAAATCTTGGTCAATAAAATTTAAAGAGTGTTCAACACTCTAATATCCCCTAACCAAAACAGCCTTTGTCCTTCAAAGAAGGATATCATACAACAATTTTAATAAATCTAGAGTTTCATAGAGACTACTATAGGTCCCTCTTCTACTAGATATACATCATTGCAACTCTCCATACACTTAATGGAGAGTTGTTTGGGTACTTCAAGAGTGATACTGGGATAAGATAGGGAGACCCCTATCTCCCTTTCTTTTTTTGTTCTTTATATAGATTAGTTAAATGGTTTGTTCAATCAACAACAGGTGTTTAATGGCAATTTGGGTTTCCATTGGAGATGTGAAGAGGTGGGGTTGACTCATCTATGCTTTGCTGATGATTTATTTGTGTTCACTAATTGTACTGTTGATTCAGCTACAACCATGTAGAGTACCCTCACTACCTTCTCTGAGGTCTCTGGAATTGCTCATAACTCCTATGCGAAAGAAAGGTGCTTTCTTCAGTGTTGATGCAAGATTTTACGACCTGGAATGACGACGTTCAGTGTTGATAATGACGTCGTAGAGTGGCACCAGTGTGGTACCGGCCTAAGAGCCTCCGGTGATCAAGTCAGTGTTAGATCAAGAAGAAAAAAAGAAATTAATAAGACTTTTTTAAGAATTTGTATCGTAACTTTTGAGTTGCCCGACCTCTCCTTTTATAGGAGAGTTAATAGTAGTATTCACCTAGGTAACTACTTCTCTTGACTTTTACATCATGTAATGAAAGAGTTATCAGAAAGAATAATTGTCTTTATCCTTGCCACTTGTATTTTATTCAACCTCCGACCTCTCTTTTTGTAGGAGAGTTAATGTTAGTACTTACCTAGGTAACTAGGTCTCTTGACTTTTTCATCATGTAATGAAAGAATTATCAGAAAGAATAATCGTCTTTATTCTTGCCACTTGTATTTTATTTAACCTCTTGAACTGCATGTCGCTTGCTGGTAGAATATTCCGTATCATTTAGTAATGTTCAGAAATTTACAATTTTCTGTGTCATCGGTTCCCAGAGGGCTCCCTCCCAGTTAAATATTTGGGAGATTCACAACCAGACTGAAGGTCAAAGATTGCAGAGATTTGCTTTAGACAGTCACAGCTAAAGTTAGAAGCTGGACTTCTAAGTGGTTGTCCTACTCAGGGATTCAACGGTTGAAATCCATATTGTTTGCTATTCATGTATAATGGTCATCTTTATTCATTTACCTAGGAAGATCCTTATGTGTTTTTTTCGGAAATTAGGAAGATCCTTCATGTTGTTCAACAGACTCTTGTGTTGTTCCTTTGGAAAGGTTCCTCCCTTGAAAAGGACCCCTTTATCAAAGGGTGGTCTTGGTATTGAAATTTTTTAAACCTGGAATAAAGCCATATTCACAAAAATATTTGGAACCTTATCCACAGTACTATCACGTCCAGGCTCCAAGTCTACTTACCTTCTTAAATATAAGAACTTCTAGTTGGTGAAAATTATTCCTTCTGCCTCTTGATGTTGGAGAAAATGCTTCTACCCAGAGAATCCCAAACATTTTAAATTCAAGCATATTATTCTCGCTTCTACTGAGAAAATTCCACATGTTTAGATTCAAGTATATTATTCTCTTAGGGCCCGCTGGGTACCACAGATGCTTTGTGCTTTTGCCTTGACCCGAAGCAGAAACAATATTTCTGCTTTAAAGTGTGTTCAATACTATTTGGAAGCCTGCTTGTCAAAATTTGTTGCAAGATTTTTAAAAGCAAAAACACCCAAACATGTCTGGTAAAAAAGTATTGCAAAGATTGAAAAATTAAATGGCTAGTTAAAAATGTCAATTTAGAGTTTTTTTTTTTTTTTTTTGGTGAATAGTGCTTTTGCTACAATATGGAAGGAACCATAAGCATCGATTTGTTGCTTCCGGTTTTGGCCTCTTTTTCAGAAGCGTTTCAATACGATTTAAATCGTAATAAATATTACCAAACATACTTCGTACTTTTACTTCTTTTTTTTTCCTGAATGAACTTTTACTTTGCTACAGTACACTGGTAGAAACAAAAAATACGAAGCAAAAGCAGTTGCCAAACAGGCCCTTAGGCAATAACACTTCTTTGTGGTTTGATCCTTTTTCATCTTGTGGCTCCATAGTTCTAGCCAATGATGATTTATGACTCTGGTTTGTCAAAGGATGCCCAAGGTTGCAGACCTATTCCCATATGGATTCCATTGGTAATAATGATCAACCAACAGCCTATTCCTCCTGGCATGGGAGATGATATTATTGTTTGAGCTAGCACTAACAAGTCTTTGATAGGTGAAGATGCCTTTGAAGACGTAAAACATTACCTTGTTCTCTGGGGGCTTAACCTATTTGGTTTAAATGGGTGTTCCTAAACATTGTTTTATTCTTTGTACTGAAACCATTAATGTACTCCAGACCTTGGATATGCTTAGAGAGTAAGGCTTCACTCTAAATGACACTTGTATCCTCTGTAGAAGGAGCACAGAGACTAGCCAACACTTATTTGTCCAATGCGATTATAGTCTGAAGGTGTGGAATTCCATTGCTGGTCCAATTGAATTGGCATGGGGACCCCGCTCTCAGCTTTGTACTTGATTGCTTCTGGCAGCCGGCTTTCTCAGCGCAACGTTGGCCACCAAGCCGCTCCTGCTGCTAAGCATACACACATTGCTTCCGCTTCCTCACTAATTTGGTTATCCTTTTCGCGACATTTGTGCCACTCGCCACCTCCATCACATGACTACAAAGCACACTGTCATGGGTCAGACGCATGGGGTGATTTTAGACCCAGGAAGCCGGCCTCTAGGTCTTAGTGTATTACCTGCCGAAGCAATCCTCAGCAAAGCTGCCTGTCCGTTTCACCACCAACTAGCAAGGTTTGCAAATTCAAGAACTTACATCTAGAAAAGAAGACAACCCAACAAACTGATTAACCTTCTCATAACAAATGAACCAATCTTCTTTGCCTCTTTCCCTCGCTGACTTAGTACTAAGAATGCCCAAAATGAAACCAAAAGCTAAACTCAGAGAATTTCTCTCACTAATTTGGGCTGGGAGAGGGAGAGATGATGATAAGAGAATTAGTTGCAGCAGTTGATGAACCAAGTAAAAAGAGGAGAGAAAGAGAGAGGAGGTTGAGCAATGATGATGATCCAAAAAACTTTAAAAAAGAACACAAGGACCCAAGTGATCTGACAAGTGAAAAGTAATAATAATAAATAAATAAATAAAATGGAAGAAGAAGCAGACCCTTGCGACAATCAACTGGAAAAGAAAAGAATAAATTGGTGATGGATCACGAGTTCTTGAGAACTGCTTTCAAAAAACTAAATCAAACATGCCCTTAAACTGATGCAATTGTTAGAATGGAAGGAAATTTCTCTTTCAAGGCTGGATGGAACAATTTGCAAATGAAAAATCTGTGAATCTAACGACTAAACGTAACTCATCAATAAATAACATGCATGCTCATGCATATTTGGAATCAAAATAAGTTTAGAAAACTTTGAAATTAAGATGCCATGTATATCCAATGCAGGTATACAAGCGTTAATCATGGTGTGAATTTACCTTTACGAAACTTGTCAATAAATCACAAGAAAATACATCATATCAACCAGAATTTCAAGTCGTAATACCTTCACCCACCAACTGGAAACTGGAGGCTTTGGGTAACACTCTCTGTCAGAATTGCCCACTATAATTTCAACCAAGGCCAGCTATTCCAACATGTATACGTTCTCATACTATAAAACATCTTACAGTTAGACCTAGAAGAATGAAACAATTAGAAAGCCCAAGGCAAGAATATTGTCGGAGAAATAACCTGTTTGTAAGTTTAAGAACCCATAGCAATACAGAAACTCCATTTCTTATTAGTCCCCTTACCAAAGAGAGACGCTCAAACTCCTCTTTTCCCACATAATAATAGAAAGACACCGCCAAATCTGCACAAGAATGTCTTGTATTGGAAAAAAGTTTTAATATGGAACATCCCCTAGCAGAATGTTGCAGGAATTTCCTTAAGATACACAATCAAATAGATGCTGCGGACCAGCAATCATCAACAATCCAGTTAAGCATAAAAATCCTAACTTTCAGCAATGATCTCCAACATATCTTCTCTGAAACCATGACCCTTCCCTGGCACCTTTCCCATAAAAGCAAAAGATAAGTCATCTGTTGAACACATAAGCATAGCAGTATAATTCTATATATCACCCAGCTTCTCAGTTACTAAGATTTCTGCAGGTGAGGAGCTTCACGCTTCACAATTTTATTTAACCAAACATGAAGTATCTGAAGACCCTGCAAAGAAAAGGTCAATCAGCACCAACACACAGGACTTGCTCTTAATAATTTTTTTCTTTATTTATTCATTTTTTTGGGGGATGTTGGGGGGTCTAATCCTCACAGCAACATGGACTTGTTGAAGCCATGCATAGCTGGTTGGGAACTCTTCACTCTCTTTTGTTTACGCAGGACAATGTTGTATTGCAAACGCCTTTTTTTTTTAAGCTAAGCAGCATTATTTTAACCTGTCACTGATTTACTGTTCACTTGAAGTCCCTAACCCTCTGTGTGCCGCAATAAGCTTCCATAGAGAGTTGTCACCATGCTTCACCAAAAGCAATATTTAAAAGACCACTTTTTTATTTTATTTTTTAAGAAATAGTTCTTTATGTTTGCATCATAATAATAAAATTGGTATCATGAGCAATGACGACTACTTGCCTTTTAAATACTCCCTCCGTCCCAATATATAACATGACACTTATTTTGGGACGGAGGGAGTATTTAGTATGTTGGAACATATTGTTGCAGCCCAGAAATAATAACCATATAAAGTTACCAATGCAAGAATAAAAGAGGAGGTCCAAGACCAAATTGATACTAATTAGTTCAACAATTTTATTTTTAGGGTAAATTGCACAACTCCCCTAATATACAGGCCTTCCCTATTGTATCAAAATTAAACTCACCTGAGTTCAGCACTAGATTCCCCCTACATCAATGGTCAACATTAGTCAAAGGGCAGACTCTGCTTATGTCAGCAAAATCAAACTATAAAGTACCAGATTTGCCCTTGTCTTTTAACTTCAACGCCACTTTTCAACTGGTAAACATAATAACCATCAAGGGTAAAAATGTAAAATAAACTCTCCCTATTATCACCACCCCAATGGAAATATCCAACAGGGGATACTAGTGTAATTTTTGAATCAGCAGGGTACCCAAATGAAATTATGCTATACTTTCAGGGAGGTGAATGTAATTCACCCTAATTTTTAATTTCTTTTACAAGACATTATAGCGGGAGGTTGACCAACTTTATGGGATGTCACTGGAATACTTTGCACTAGTAGAAGGGGCAATTTTAGATCTACACTATAAACTATAATAGGAGGTGCGTGGGGGTTGAGATGTTAAGATACAAGTTTAAGATTTGTTTGAGAGGGGATTGACATAGAGAGCTTTCACTGCTCATTTTTATAGTTGATTGTTTTATCGTTACATTATCAATAAAAATCTTTATTACATGCTATATTGTTCTTTTCTGTTTCTGCCCATTGCTACATCAGTCCTGAATCCTCGGAAACTGTTTCGACCTTGTGCCAAGGAGAGAGCAATTATTAAATTTGCATGAGAGGATTACCATTAAGTGCTTTCTATTCTCATTGCCACTCTTTACTATCAATTACTATTATTACCTGCGTTTTGTTCATTTCTGATATCTGCCCTTTGCTACATCAGTTGTGGGATCAAAGCAACTTTCAAATCCTCAGAAACTGCTTCAAGATCTTTTGTCAAGGAGAGAGCACCATACCAAAAAGCAGAGAGATGAGCTTTTAGTGAATTTGACCCAACAAGAGGCAACAATGACCAGGAAGTGCAACCCTTGCAAAGGGGATAACCTAACAATGGCTGTGGTTCAAGAGAGAATCAAACACTGCACCCTGAAGATCAGCTGGAAGGAGACTTCAGTGAAGGGTCTGATCTAGAAGCTTTTATGTCCAATAAAGAGATAAATCCATTCCATGATGAAGAAGAGAGGTGACCATCACTGAAGGCTGCAACTAGAGATCACAGAAACCCTAGCCCTGGGGAAGGTCCAGAAAGGGAGAACTTTAGACATCAACATTGGGATTTTAGAAGATTGCAAAAAGGTCAAACTGGCTAAAATTTGATGGAAATGGACCTCCAGAAAACTGTTTGATTTGTCTGTGCATAGATAATTTATTTGGACAGCCAAGGATTCAGCTATGAGGACAGACTAAGACAAAGATGAGAGAAGTTTTTGCTTCTTGATTTAAAGCATAATTTGTTCGAAAAACTACTACTCCCTAGAAAGACAATTGCTATGAATATAACAACTGAACTTGCAATGGAGTTGCTAAATTAGATCTATTGCTAAATTCCTACTCTTTGTCGAGACTTAAATTTCATGTCAGGGATTATATAGTGGCTGATGAATGATGGACCATCTATTAGCAGAGGCAGAGCAGTTGAAGGAAAAGACATGTATTGACAGCATAAGTTCCGGCACTGGTAGAAGCAATCATTATTGATTGTCTGAGTATTGGAAGTGGTAGCAAACAAGTTGAGTGTCAATCCAGATACTTTGTTCTATTCACTTTTAATTTTCTTCGAAGAGATTAGAGTTTGAGACTTTAAGTTTATGGCTTAAAGGCCATTTGATGATTTATTTCCAATGGAGGCTGTCATGGGGATATTTAGCATAACTAAGAATAAAATTTGAGACCTAAAGTAGAAACTAAATGATACCTAAAAGAATAGCAGTACAGGATTTGTTTTTCCCTTCTGCAGTTTGCCAATACAGGTCTAAGGTTAGCTTGAGAGAGGACTGCTGTCGAGGTCATTCTCTTTTCCTTTGCTATTGTTGGTTGTTTTCAGGCTAAATTATCCATTAAACATCTTCACTATCTGATGTTTTGTTCCTATCTATTTTGCGTCACATCTTATTTCAGTATCCAACAGGTATAGTTATGTACTACTAAACATATAACAATGATATATGATAAACAGTAAAACAGGAAATAGATCATTTACCTAAATAAATAAATAATGATAAAGAAAGAAATCACAAAAGATGCCACAAGTATACACGTTCTCCTACTTGATTTCTTCTCAAATACCTGAAATAGAAACAACAGTAAACAACTGCTATACTCAGCAACTGGTCAAGAGCTGTAGAAACAAATGAGATCAGAATAAAGATAAGAAAGTAGCGCAGATATAGTTTAGTTACCATCTTGAACCGATCCATAGTTCCTGACATGATTCCCCTAGATGCATCCATGCCATTGCCCTGTTTTATGGAGAGGGTATTAAATTCCATTCAAAAACAAGTAAGAAATTTTTTTCTTACATTCATAGAAGAGAACGATACTCATAACTGCAACCAACATACCACCCGGTCCAGCATTCTATTATGACTTTCCACCTCCTCATGTATATCTCCTGTTAACTGTCAAGAGACAAGTAGATTACATAACCCTAGCAAGACATCTTAGATTCAGGAAGTTATAAATTTCAAGCGAAAATCACACAAGCGAATGGCTTAACTGTTGGCATGCAAATATACGCATGCACAATGACATCATAAATTGCAAATTTAAGTTATATATGAGTAGGAAACAGGCAGACTTGCTATTGCATGACTTTTGGGCCAACCTTCTCCGGTAAGCAATTCATTATTTTCTAAGCCTTATTTTAATACAATCCATCAAAACCATTGATCTTGTCATTATTGGTACATCATTGTGGCAATTAGTACATGTTCCCATATCCACTACAGTAGCCAACTGATGTGTGCAAAGAAACCACCCCAGGTAGCGACTATGATGCATTGATTGGCCTGAATTTCAGCATCAGCGTTGATCAGAAGGAGAACTACCTTGAACCAACTGGCAGGTCCCTAATACAGGCTACAAACACCAATACGAACCATATGCATGCTTGCCCACGTATCAAGCAAGTGAACACTATAATTTTCCTCTTTACAAGAAATAGTTTACCATCAGTAGAACAATTCCTCCTGAGTTAAAAATAGTAAGAGACACAACCATATTTATTACAAGAGTCATGTAAGCCAGGAAATCTTTCTACCCCTATTAGTCTAGGCCAATATGTAAAATAGTGGCTATTAGTCTTGGCCAACATGTAAAATAATGGGGGTAACCAAAATTATATCCAAAAGAGAACTGCACTTATCTAGACTTATCTAGCAATAATTTCATAGAGTTTGCATGCATCACTTCATATAAAACAACTAGTTTTTACTCAAAAGGGAGTATAGCATGGAAATATACACGAGGCAAGTAGATAAATTGAATGGAAAAACCAAGATTATGAAGATCACTCTTTTTAGAAAGATGACTCTGTCTTGCAAGCTGTCCATAGCTTTGTCATTTCCATGATCATCAAGTGGGTAGTAAGAGGAAGAAGCCCGAAGCCCACCCTCCTCAATGCCATCCAAGCTATCGAAGAGTGAAGCTCTGGAGGCACGGTGCTCCCTGAATAGAAAGAGAAACACGGTAATTAATTGAACATGACAAACATAAAAGAATGAGTTGAAGAATACCATGGGCTAGAAGAAAGGAAAATATGTTGGACTAAACAGAATCTTCCGCAACAATGTTTATATGTATATGAATTTATGCGTGTATGCACATAATGCGGAGAATATTAAACTACACACATCAAAGAAGGCAACTAGTTCATTTTGTGCCCAACATTTAAGCCAGTAAAGTTCACCATAATTGAGAGGAAAGAGAGAGAAGTCTAAGCCATCCCTGCATTGCATGATATGCACATGTTTAAGGTCAGGTTCTTTACATGAAAAGGTGATAAACATGATGTGGTCCCAGTGACGGAGCCAGGATTTCAAGTGAGGGGGGGCACGCTGTCAAAAAATAATAATAATAATACAGAGTGTATATATATATATATATATATAACAACTATAAAATTCAAAAGACAAAGAAGAAAAAAATTATTAAAATATAAAAGGAAAGAAAAATGAGAGAACTTTAAAAGGAAATAGTTGAAAAGTTTCAATTGAGGAAGAAAATTTTGACTTTTTCTACTAAGGAAATTGAAGGAATGTGAAGAATAAAAGAGAAAATAAAGAAAAAATAAAAATATAATTTTAGGAACTAAAAATTTGAGGGGGGGCACTGTATAAATTTTTTCATATATATGGAATTTTTAAAAAAAATTACCACATGTATTATAGGTTGTTGACCAACTCAGAGGGGGCATGTGCCCCCCCTAGGCCTTCATTGGCTCCGTCCTTGTATGGTCCTATGGACAAGCCATAGAGTTGGCTCCGGATGTGTGTGTGTGTGTGAGAGAGAGAGAGAGAGAGACAGAGAGAGAGAGAGAGAGAAGGAGAGAAAGAGGCCCAAGTACAGTAAGTCCAGTCTAAAGGTCCTCTAAAATTCAAGAACTTATTAGCCCATCACAATAGCCTGCTTGAATTAAATGCTTCCAAGAATGTGGAGGACAACTGTGCGATGAAGCCTAGAACCAATCACAATGCAGCCAGGACTGCTAGGGTGCAGGGTCTACCCCACTAGGTACACTTATCCAAAATAGAGAAAACCTGTGCCTTCATTTGGTGGAAGACTGATTAAGATCAGAAAGGTTCCACCTAATACCACCAAAATGACGTTCTACCCGAGTTCTGAACTTGACTAACTTCTTTTTCCTGGTTACGCAGACCTTACCTAATTGCATCGTCCCAACCAATTGTTCTCTGACTGATTCACCTGAACTGCATGACACCATGGCAACAAACAATGTTTCAACCAACTCTAACTTCTAGTCACTCAACTATCTAGAACATGCATTTGCAACGCAATTGCCCTGCTCCCACAGTAGTTAACCCTCCAAATTTGCTTCCTTGGTAGATACAATTCAACAATCCGCAATCCAAACTACTAAAAGTCGTGTACATGGATCCATCTTCTTGCATCACCGCTTAGTAAAGCCAAATCCTTGCTTATACCAAATTGCTCAACCCAGGTTCTTTTTCTAGTTTTAAATTGTCCTCTTAGCCCTTCAACTTGAATAAAATCACCCCTTTACGAGTGCATTAGTTGGTAAACCCCTGTACTACTTTTATGGGATTTGACATATCAACGTATCAGTGTCGTATCATTTATGTGCTTTGTGCCCGTGTCTATGCTACATAGATTCTTGCACAATCCCCATCCTGATTTGTGCTCGTCTTTGGCCCTCCTCTCACATCAACTCTCTACTACAACAATCTACCATCATGGTTGTTAAACTCACGATCCAATTCGCAGGATCGCATGATCCTAGATCAACAAACCCAGTTGAAAAGCAACAAAATCGCATCTGTGGTAGAATCGGAGGGATCATAGGATCCTATGAGATCCCACCGATCCTTTATTATGATCTGTTTTTGCTATTTTTTAAAGCCTGTTGGGCTATTTTGTGTTATGTTTTGAAGTCTGTTGGGCTACAGACTACTTTTAAATGACAACCCAATAGACTTCAGCCCAATATAAATCATAAAAGCTACACAGAGAGGAAAAAAAAAAAAAAAAAAAACGCAGCCCTGGACTCGAAGTTTCTTTGTCGTCCCTTTCGTGTGAAGTGTCAAACAGTCGAAGACGAAGTCCTGCACTCCTGTGATTGCTACTCCGGCAAGCTCCAACGACCTCCAGCACAGCTCCAGATTCACTTAAGCTCCTCTCTCTTTTCCAAATAAAGCTCTTAGCCTCTTCCTTAACCTAAAGGTGTGCTCCAAAACATCTTCTCCACTTATCTCTTCTCTCTTTAGATCATTTCTTCTTGTTGGTTGTCCACTTCAGATTTTGTCGGAGCTGCTGGAGTAAAGAGAGAGAAGTCGGGAAGATGTTTTGAAGAACACCTTTGGGAGAAGAGGCTATGAGCTTGATTTTGAAAAAAGAGAGGAGCTGAATTGAATTTGGAACTTGAAGGAGCTGTGCTGGAGGGCCTGGAGTTCGTCAGATTTTGCCGGAGCTGCTGGAGTAACAATCGCAGGAGTGCAGAACTTTGTCTTTAACTGTTTGACACTTCATGAAAAGGACGACAGAGAAACTTCTTGGCTATGGCTTCTTTTGTTTCTTTCCTCCTTTTCTCCAGCTTTTATAACTTATGTTGGGTTGAAGTCGTGTTGGGTTTCATTTAAAAGTAGTCTATAGCCCAACAGACTTCAAAACATAACATAAAACAGCCCAATAGGCTTAAAAATTAGCAAAAACAGAACATAATATAAGATCGGTGGGATCGCATAGGATCATACAATCCTACGACCCCACCAATTCTTATTCTACTACGGATGCAATTTTGTTGTGATTCAACTCGATTTGTTGATCTAGCATTGTAGGATTGTGTGATCCTATGATCTGGATCGCGATTTTAACAACCATGTTGGCTCCCCTCTATCACTAGCTTATCTAAGCTTCTACTTTCTAACTTTAACACACACGCAAATACTTTCTTCTGAAAAAACCATCTTCCAAAATTCAAGTATTGCAACCATATCTATCACAGCCTTTTTCACTAATTTTCCAGCATCTTCTCACAAACTTTATTTTGAATGATAGTTTTTATCCTCACTGCCACCTTTTCTGATCACCTTTTGCCTTGTCTCAAGTTGAACATTCTTACCCTTTACCAAAAAACCTTAAAAAGCCACAAACTTTTCTTCCAGACTTAACAGAGTTTACATCTTGATAACAACCATCTCAAAGCATAATAAAAGGTTTTCTAATTCAGCTATAAGATTTGTGTCAACACCTAGCAATTACTATAGCTTCCATAATCTTAGCATTAACCAAGGACAAGAGTCTCATCACTCAAAGTCTGCAATGAGCCAGTTAACAAAAAAAAACTCCACGAAAGTTGTTTTCACTTGTCAAAAATACTAATACAAGTTAAATTACCTAGCTTTCTTTCAATTTTCTTTTCCAAAAATATTATACGTTTCTCAAGAAGTGAATACAAATATGTGACAGCTTGTTTTGGTATTTTTCTGCCCAATATGCAGGCATATATATATCATGGCAGCCTAAGAAGCGCTGACACTTCAATGTAAGTGCCGTGTCCGTATCAGATACTGACACTTAATAGACACACTTGGACATGTGTCCGACACTTCATGGTCTATAACTTAAAAAATAATTTTTATTATTTTGGACACTTGGCCGACACAACTTGGACACTTGGCCAACACATCTCGTTCACTTGGTCAACATATTCTGGACACTCGACCAACACATCCCAAACTCTTCATCTTAACTAAAAAAAAAAAAATATATATATATATATATATATATATATATATAAAAATAAAAAAAACCAACACATACCACACTTGTCTTAAATAAAACAAACATGAAAGTCCCAGAAACAACATTATACACATGCATCAAAGTGTCAAACCTCATTTTCTTTAAACAAATAGACATTAAACACATGTAAGAGTACATAATAAAAAAAAATAAAAAAATAAAAACATATAACTATAACGACAAGATTAGATAATAATATCATGTATAATGTAATAATTTCTTTTTGATATTTGAATAGCTTCAACTTTAAAATATGGAACTTTAGTTTAGAAATTATAAATTAATCAAAGTTCTATAATTGTCTTACTTAATAGAGATATATAAATAATTATTTATATTTATATTATTCGTGTCCATGCGGTGTCTGTGTCCTACATTTTTTGAATTTGATGTGTCGGCGTATCCGTGTCATATTGTGTCCGTGTCCATGCTTCTTAGAAGGTAGCCTTGGCTTTCACTTTATCTTCAATAAAAGGTTAGGAAGCACAAACACGCCTAAAAGGACAAAGAATCCGTGTCTAACACGTGTCGGACACCGACACGCGCCGGACACCGACACGCGCCGGACACATCCTGACACGTGTCCGACACTCATTTTGGCGTGTCCGAATATTTTATATTTTTTCGAATATCCGGACACGCCATGGACATGCTTCTGACACGCTGTGGATGCGTGTCGCCATGGATACATAACCGACACGCGTGTCCCACTCTTTGGGGATTTTTAATAAAGTTTTAGAAAGAATGATGAGTTGAAGTATAAATATTAGGAGTTGTTTAATTACATAATTACTTAAAAACTTATTGTTTTATAAAACAATTTTATATTCAAACAATTAGATATTTATTCTTATATTTTAGTTCAAAGGTTCGAACCCTTGCACGATCATCTTGACTCTCTTGTGGTCCTACCAACCAAGCTTCGCTACCGGTGAATGGTCTCTCTATCTCTCTCCTCTTTTCTCTTTTATTCTTCGTCCTCCTTTTTTCTTTATTCTTGATTGTCACAAACCCTAAATACTTCTTTTTTTCCTTTCACAATAAATTTCTTTTCGTCTCTTTTTCCTTTTTTCCTCTATTCCCCGTGAACTTTTTTCTCTTCTATGGATTCTTACCTTTATTTTTAACTAAGGCCTAATTCTTTTTTTAACAAAACCCTAATCTTCTTTGTCTCTTTGTTTTTTCTTCTCTTTCTTAACCCTCATTCTATCATTCTTTCTTTTTTCCAGCAAAACACATTTTATTTTTCATTATGAGATTGTACAAAAAAATATTACTCTTAATTTCTTTTTTTGATAAGTAAGTAATAATCAATAAAAAGCGTTAAAAGGGGAACGCGACCCAAGTACAAAAACAGAAACGATGCCTAAGGACCCAATGAGTCCAAGGAATCAACTAAATCATCGGGGGAGGAACAAGATCTCCCCTTTACATAATAAAAGATAGAATGAATAATATGAAGTTTCAGTGTAGGTAGAGGTGATTCTTTTCCTTTGAAAATTCTGTTATTTCTCTCTTTCCATATACCCCACCAAACGCAGTGTGGAACTATCCTCCAATAATCTCTAACGTGACTTCCCACATGGCATCCTCTCCACGTGCTAATCAGACCCTTGGAGGAGCGAGGCATAACCCAACACATGCCAAAAAGGCCAAGGATAAGGTTCCAACAGTCTTGTGCCACGGGGCAGTGCAAAAGGATATGATCCACAGATTCGCCGTCGTTTTTGCAAAGACAACACCAATTAACAATAGTATTGCCTCTCTTCCTAAGATTGTCCAAAGTCAAAATCTTACCCTAAACAGCTGCCTAAACAAATAAAGCCATTCTAAGGGGAGCCTTAGAGCGCCATATCGTTTTCCATGGGAAAAGTACCTTTGGTGGAGGGAACCCACAAAAGATCATCCCTACCACTTCCGATTGCCTCTTGCTTATACAACATCTCCAAAAGAGCGCAAACCTCATCCAACTCCCAATCCTGAAAAGAATGCCTAAAGCGTACGTCCCACGTAATCCCACTATTATCACGTCGATAAAAGTCGATTACATAGGCGTGTCTATCGGTGGCGATACTATAAAGTCTGGGAAAGGAATGAGATAACAATTAATCACCACACCATAAGTCCTCCCAGAAGCGAACACATCTACCATCATGAACTTTGAACTTAATATGAGAAGAGAAAACCTCCCAGCCGTTTCGGATGAATTTCCACACTCCAATCCCTCCCGCCGTAGAGACTGGGCAAGAAGTCCAACCACCACTCTCCTCCCCAAAACGACATGAAATAATCCTCCTCCACTGGCGATGACGTTCCTTGCCAAATCTCCGGAACCACTTCCCCAAAAGCGCTCTATTGAAGGGAATAAATCTTCGAATACCAAAGCTGCCTAACCTTATGGGCTTGCAAACTTGCTCCCATTTGACAAGGTGATACTTGAACTCCTCACCCCTTCTGCCCCAAAGAAAATCCCTTTGAATCTTTTCAATCTGCAACAGAGCATGCGATTTGTAACAAAGATAAGAAGTATGTAGGAAGGCTCGAGAGATTGCTCTTGATAAGAGTGACCTTCCCCCATTTTGACAGATACTGCTCCTTCCACCCAGCCAACCTTTTTTCGATCCTATCAATCACAGGATCCCAACTCCCCACCCTCCTAAATGAGGCCCCCAAAGGCAATCCTAGTTAAGGAATCGAAACATCATATATATAGAAAATATATTTCTTATTTGCCATGTCCCCACCATGTTTGTGTCCTAATTTTTTAGGATTTGCCGTGTCGCCATATCCGTGTCCCGTATATGATCTGTGCTTCTTAGATAAAAGGTAATATAATAGCCTAACGAAAACCCAATCACGACATACAAAAGCGAATGATCCATCAAATATAGCTCTAAACATAATCAAAATATACATATAGCTCTAAGCATGAGTACCATAGGTCATCTTGAAGCTGTTTAAAGATTGAGCAAGCTCCAATACTATTTCGATTTCATAACAAGACACTATTTTAAACGACCAACTACAACATACTCCACGAGTTAGCACTATCCTTAGAACTTCAAAAGTAGTGAATTCAACTCATGAATTGAATGAACCAAATGTTTTCTCCATTGACATGCAGCTAACTAAAAAACTAGGATGCCATTGTATAGACACCTAACTTATTTAACGCCCGTCACCCCCCCCCCCCAAAAAAAAAAAAAGATAGTTTAGCATAAATAATAAACCACATAAACTCAAACTAAAGCAATCCAAATTAAAATTATTCTTCATTTAGACCGAGTGGTAAGAGCCTAGGACTATATGCAGATCTAACCTTTGGTATTGTTTTTGCACAAAAGAATAAAAATAAAATATATATATATATACAAACCTAAGAATCTAGGAAAAATTATTCATGCAACACAAGCACGATATATGTTGCCACATCACCATCGCTTATCATATAGCTCTGCACATATCACCTTTTAAGTAGCAAAAAAATCTATAAAATGGATACAAGTACAAACAGGTGAACACATTTTAGCACATGTCAGATGTTTTCAATACTCTAGATACGGTGCAATTGGGCAAGAAAATCCATCCCAACCCCTTCTTTAATGGACTCAAACAGCATCTTCTTAGATTGGATTGGAGTTGAAAATTTCAACTAACCTCAATTTTTTTTGAAGGTTAGAAAAGACTCAGAATTTTTAAACTCAAGTTGCTCCCTCAACTTGCCCAACCTGTCTCAGTTGCATCCCAAACTTTGGGGCATGCCCAACATGCTTAGGACATTGTATTAACTAGACTAAGATTAAGAATCCATGTTAAACCAACTGAACAGATGGACAACTTATTAAATTATGGTGGTGAAGCAAAATAAACGAAGGCGGCCAAAGGCCTGTAATGATTTATGTGCGTTCACAAGCATGCACATACAAGAGCATTTGCATACTAGTATCAAAAATTAAGAAATTACCATGTCACAATGTCTACTGATTTGTTGAACACTGCCCTATGTCTAGGTCCAGTAGGGGTGGCAGTTCGTGTTTGTGGGTCGTGTTCGTGTCTTGTCGATGTAAGGGTATTATACTAAATAGGTAAACCCAAATATTCAAAATAAAAAGAAAATTCATAAGGTATAGACAAGGTTTATGTTTAAATAATTTAACTATCCATAGCAATTGAGTTTAAATAGGTTATACATTACATAAGTCATATTCACGATTATATCATGTTGAGTTAAATGGGTCATAGACGGATTACATGGGTTGAACCCCTCAACCCTAACCCGACATGGTTTAGTAAACGGGTTACATGGGTTAAACTCCTCAACCCTAACTTGACACAATTAAGTAAACGGATTAATCGTGTCGATTCTTTTAAGACCCAAATCCGTTTATGCCAAGCCCAAACCCTTTTAACTCGTGTCGTGTTGTTGTGTCATAATTTGCCCACCGTCCACATAAGAAAATTTTAATAGATCATGCCTTCCAATAAGTCTATACACTACATTGGAACAACTGAAGTTCTACCAAATTTAAACCAAGTACTAGTTTTCTTTTCCTATTAATTAAACACTAACCAGAATTGAGTTTATAAAATTTTTTAAAATCCAAAACATCTTTGAGAACCAAGTAAGGATCTGAATACATATAATTTGACACTAAATATGTGTCCAGAAAATATGAGTAAAAGCATTCATATGTGAGATAAATAACAGGGCATCCAGTGAAGTATCATAGATACAAAAACAGCATGAATTCACAAATCTATCTATCTATATATATATATATATACACACACACGTGTGTATATGTGTTTGTAAACAAACCTTCGGTAACTCATGGCATACGCAATTCACTGCTTCAGCCTTTTATTCCGTTTCTGAGACTATAAACTGACGATAAATTCGTTTCAGCTACGAGATCTTTTGCTTCTTTGAAACAAAAAGATACCAATGAACTAGCGCTAGAAGAAATTTTTTTAAGAAAAAAATGAAACAAATAAACAGAACAAAGGAACGAATAAACAAATCAATGATTTTGAATATTGAAAAGAATAAGTTCCAAAAAATAAATTAAAATGGAAAAGAGAAGTGCGGTTAAAGGTGGTGAAAATCAAACAAATTTGAAGAAAAGTATATAAAGGAGAGGAAACGACATGGATGGGAGCAATCCGGGTAAGCGAAATCCCTAAAATACTGTATATAGATGTGATATATGTAAACATAAGGGCAAAATGCACGAAACCTCCCCAAAACTATTACGTTTTGGCACGTTACCCTCTTAAATTTATTAATTTGGCAAAAAATTTGCAGAACTATCTACATAATTTGCAATCTTACCCTTAAAAAATTATGCCTTCGTTTTTTTTTCCTAATTAGTACTCACACGTACATGTCTCTATAGAGGTTCGAACCCCTGACCTTTTCAAAGACCTGCTGGTATTAGAGATGGCAACGGGGACGGGTTTGGACAGGTGTACCCTCCTCCGCCTCCGCAACCGTTTAAAAACCCCGCCCCATCTCCGCCCAAAACCGCAAAAACTGGAGAATTTTCCACCCCATTCCTGTAACCGTTTAACATTTTTACCCCTACGAGTACCCGCCCCGCCCCGTTTAAGACCATAATTTAATTATTATTAAAATGGATTTGCTATTCTTTTTTTTCCCTCATCTTCAATTCTTTACCATTGCAACTTTCCTTTTAATAAAATTCATTTGTTATTTTAATATTGTTATATGGGGTAAATAATATATAGTGAAAAATATATATATTAATGAAATAAGAGTACTTAAGTAATTTGCCTATCTAAGCGGGGCGGGACGGTGAGGGACAACCTCCCCCTACCCCCGCACCAAACCCGCGAGGGTTTTTATTGCATCAAACCATCCCCACCCAAATAAGCAAAACGGTTCCCCAAAATCGCCAAAAAGGGGTGGGGTGGGGCAAGTAACCGCGGGGACGGGTTAAATTGCCATCCCTAGCTGGTATTATGCCTTTGTTTTCGTTACTCTTTATCATTTAGTTAAAATACCAAAATATCCTTAAAAAAAAAAAAAAAAAAAAAATTGGCATAAGTATTCTGTATTGAACATATGCTTGATGAGGCACCAAGGCACAAGTCTATCCACTTAGGCCAACTAAAAATTTCGTTTGAAAATACTATTTAATTCAAGTTATGCTTTTTATATACGAAGTAATATTAAAAATAAAAGATATAAGCCATTGTACCCAGTTACGAGTGCCATGGACATGAGACAAGTTCATAAGGAGCCATGAGAGAGAGATTTGTTGGGTAATTGCATTAAAATCCACCGCTATACGTGTGCAAAATTAGTTAAGCAATACCATGCACAAAATCGGCTCATGGTTTGAATGTAGGATAAGAACACAAAATCATTTCATACTATGTCTTCATTTCATTCATTTATAAACCTGCATATTGACAAAAAAAAAAATGGAGGCTCTTTCCTTCATTTTATATATATACTTATGTATAGCTACTCCAGTCATCATGAGGATATATTTGATCCAAGAACATTTTTGTCCATCAAAAGGGAAAAATGGATAATCTATAATAATTCTTGCCAGCTACACCTGAAAATATTTTAGTTCATTTGTGAGAAGGCAGGGGCACATTGCAAATTATTTAGATTATAAGGGTTTTTGGCCAACTTGATAGTTTATAAAGGTAATGTGTCAAAATGTAATAGTTCCAATATTTATTTTATTATTATTATTATTTATTTTTCTTTTTTGGTATTTTGCATTTTGCCCTATATTATACCTAGATATACTAGGATTGTCAGGATACTAATAATGTGATTGAAAATTTTCGTAGTACAAACCTCACTCAATGTAATTGAATGATTATATATATATATATATTCATAATTGGTATTGTATTAAACTTGAAAGAATTCATTACAGATGCACAAAGGGCATAACCAACTAGGAGAATAAATCTTGGACAGTAGCATTTTGAACATCAAGCACTTCAAACAACACATGTTTGGTCACCAGCTGAGGAGCTCTATGCACTGCATCATGAAGTCTCGTATTTCTCTCCTGCCATACCCCCCACAAAGCAGCAACCAGTAGACTCTTAAGGGTTTTAGAAGCATGATACTTTTGAGTAAACCAAGCAAACATATCCCAAAAAGTCTGGATAGTATTGAAAGTTACCATATCCCAGCACAAAACCTCACCAAACCACATCCACATTGCTTTAGCAAACTGACAGGTCACAAACATATGATCTATAGAACCACACACTCTATGACAATTGGAGCATCTAGTAGCTAACTGCATTCTCCTTCGCTACATATTAAACATTGAAGGCATCCTGTCTTAACAAAAAAGAAATTGCATTTACTAACCATCTAGGTCTGACTTTTCCCTAGCACAGAGATGCCAATCAACTTCTTCATAGGAAATTATACAACTCTGCCAAGCACTGTTAAAAGAAAATTTTCAACCCTCCCATAAAAGACAACCATCCCTAGGCTGGATAGGAATAAACACATAGTCCCTAACAAGATGAAAAATATTACCTTGTAATAGCATCAAATTCCATGTTCCATTAATCATAAGACTGTGAAGATGTGAATCCCTAGGAAGAGCAAGATTCCTGACCATGCTATAGCCAAATTTTGGACCACAGTTTGGCCATCTGACCAAGGATCAGTAAAAAGTTTCAAAACTTGGCCTGGGCAATAGAGAATGATGTGTGCTGTTTCATTATACTCTAATATTGACCATAGACTTCTGAACAATAGAGTGAGAAGCCCTGTGGACAACATTCCAATAAGATGAAGTAGTAACATACCTATTCTTAAACCAAAAAATCCACAATATATCTTTACTAACCAAAAATTCCCAAATTAATACACATTTGGAAGTTGTTTGGATGTCCCCCAACCTTCTGATACCCAATTCACCTTCAGCCTTAGTTTTGGTGATCATGTCCCAGTTTAGAAAATAATCTTTCTGACATTATCTCTACTCCCCCACAAGAAATCCCTACAAAGTTTCTATATTTAATTAATCACAGCCATAGGAATTGAAAAACACTGCACCAGTACAAACAAACTGGAGTGATGACAGTCTTCAACAATTCTGTTTTTCCTACTACTGAAAGTAATTTACTACTCCAACTCCTGATCTTCTGAGTGATTTTGTCAAGTAAAATAGCATAGTGTTCTCTCTTCAAACCACTAGCATAAAAAGGAAGGCATAGGTAATCCAGAGGTAAGAATTATCCCTTACACCAGAGCAGATCAATGATAAGACCTTTCCACCTTATTTGCCTTCGAAAAATTAATACTACTCTTTTGGGGGGTTGATCTTCAAACCAGTAGAGCTTTCAAATTTGCTAAAAATAGAGGGTGGAGTCCTTGCAATAGACAATGAGGTCCTATAGGTTACTAATAAATCATCTGCAAAAAAAGTGTGACATATAGATGAATTAGTCTTGAGAGCAATGTGTGATACTATAAGACTCCCATTCCGTATAGCAGGATTCAAACTCTGAGTTAGGTGCTTTGTCACCAAGGTAAACAAAAGTAAGGATAAAGGACAACCCTATCTTAATCCTCTACTAGGTTGATTAAAAACAGCTGGGGAACCATTTACCATAACAAAATACCTAGTAGAAGAGAGGAGAGATGATACCCAAGTCGCCCAACAGTCACTAAAACCATAAGAACTCAAAGCCTTTAATAAAAATCCCCAAGACACCGAATCATAAGCCTTCATAATGTCAACCTTTATGGTCATAATTGGATGTCTAGGGCTGTTAAATTCACTCACCATTTCATGAGCAATAATAATAGCATCTTGGATTCTCCTACCCTTAATGAAAACACTCTGTTCCTATAATGACCCGGTCATTTTCATTTCTTTCCCTTTCTTCAAATTTTGCGAATAAATTTTTTTCATTGTCTTTTCCTTTTCGGGTTCGATTTCCCGCCTCTTAGTATCGTTACGAGTGCTCGAAAATGGTTTCTGAGACTCTTTCCTTTAGATTGACAACTTCCTTTGAGGACCGAATCATTTCCACATTTTTTTTGTTTTTTAACACTATTCATTTTTTCGTCTTTTCCTTATTTCGTCCTCTTCTCGTTTTTCACTTTTACTTGCATAACCTCATTTTTTGTGCTCGGATTTGATTCCGGTTTTGCATACGTCCATGATATTTAAATTCCATGACATCTACATTTTTACTTTTGTAGAAATGCATATTAAATGCTTACTTTCTTTGTAAAGCCATGAAAACAAGACTTTTTGTAATTATCCATAACTTGAGGGGTTTTTGGGTAATTAAGTAAAGTAATTATTTTTCGTCTTAGGGACCATTTTGCAAATTAATTTGGAAGATATTTTCAAAAAGGACCTTTTTGCAATTTCTGAAAAATGTGACAAGTGTCACATTCCTATGGTACCACTTGTTGATTTTGTGGTGGAACCACTTGGAGGCTTAATCTCATGATACATGGAGGGTGGAGATTCATCCACTTGTTGACCTAGGATTGGACCACTAGTTGGCTTGGATGGTTGACAAGTGTAGGCTTAGGATTAATTCTAGAAGGGAACCTTAGGATGATGACAAGTGTAAGACTCACAATTAGTCTTGCATTTTGTGTGTGTGTTGACTATGGTGTAGGTTCACCTAGTGAGTGGAGGACCTCTAAATCCTCCACTCACGTTTCATCTTTTTCATTTTCACATTATCCTACACATAAGAACCCTAGACTCCATTGAAGAAAGCTTAAAACCTTAAGCTTTGACTTTAAATTTTGAGGCTCTTCCACTCACCTTAGATCATTGACCTTGGAATACTTTTTATTCCTCTCCTCTACTTCTACAAAACTCTTGTTTGGTTTTCCATTTTTAAGCTTGTTTCCCTTGGATTCAAGAGGAACAATCCTCTTGTGAGGTAGGGGATGTTATCATTTATCTTCCAAGTGATTTTATTTATTCCTATAGTGATATCTAAGTTAAATGCATGTGTTGTATTGAAATAAGAAATAAATGACTAATGCTAACTTGTATGAAATTTACTTTAGACTTGATAAATAACATGACCATGGCTTGATTCATAACTTATGTTAATTTGAGGTCATTTAGAGTTGTTTTAAAATCTAGAGGGATTAATGAATTAATTTAATTAATTTTTATTTATATGCTCCTATGACTT